AAATTCCTTTATAGATGTCTGTTTTTGCACTGAAATCCTATTCAGGATGTATTCCAGACGGTCATTTTGAAAAAACATGCATGTCTTTCTTCTTCTGAAATGTTTTTTAATAAATAAATTTTAATGTATTAAAGTCATCCACTGCTGCTGCAAGTATTATTGATTTTGTGTTTAAATCTTTTATAATAACACAAATGGAATATTGAAATAAAATGTTATCATAATCATTGTGGCTACATTTTATAAAGATTTATTTATTTAAAAGGAAATTATTTGTAAATTTTAAAATAACTAAAATATTTTAATGCTGAAATTTAAAAATAAATATTATTGTTAATTAGGGCACGAAGCCTAAATCCCAGCGTAAAAAAAAATAATAATAAATAAAAAACAACACTCGCGACATTGCGCAAATGGCACTGAAAAGTGAAACTTAAACTAACAGAAACCAAAAGTAGGCGCGCGCGATGCTATCGGCGCCCGCCGATCGCCACCGTAATAGCTTTTTAGTAGAAAGTTGTAAGTAAAAAACATTCAACTGTCAAAATTCGAATTTTAAAATGGTCGAACTATCGGAAGTGTCGTATTATCGATATGTCGAATTACGGTTTGTTATTTGATAGGCCGGAGGTCGGGACATCAGAACATGGTTGAATTATCGCCGAGTGTCGAATTGGGGTGTGTCGAATTAACGAGGTTATACTGTATATATTTTTGGTCCCAGAGGCTTCTTGAGAAATCAAGAAATGGGTATTTAAAGCCAAATTTGCATAAATACGCTTAACACGTGAAAAATCAATAGAAAAAAAAATAAAAAAGATAAGTGGGTCAGGTGTTGATATTAAAAATAAAGAAGGCATTTCCTGACCACAAGCACATGTGCTTTTTAGATGGCAGAGCACCATCTAGTGGAGCAAAAATAAACTAAATGTTATATATATATGTGTGTTTTGTCTAAGTTCTACTGTATTTTTTGCCTTGTAAATATTTCAATACTTTCATCTATATATATAAGCTGTCATCAAATTGTAGAAAAATAATCTCTAATCTCTCCTAACACATGCTTGAATAATTTGCGTGTTTGTGTTTCGCCAGATCCTCGAGCTCTTTGTCAACAAAGATGGCAGGGGGAAGAAGATTCCAGAGTACCTCATCCACTTCTATGGCTGGAAACCAAGGTACAACTTTACATACTGGTTGTACACCCTATTGTCATTGGGAGTGAGCAAGTGAAATAAACTTTCAGACTGTAAGTGGGGGTCTGTGGTATAACTTTGATTCCAAGTGATTGGTTACTACCACAGCATTGCCACCAAAATATCCTCTCATCTATTTTTACTTATTCATATTTGTGGTAATTTTGTGACCTTGTGTTTCTGAGTGCATCAATCCCAAATGTTACAGTAAGAACATTTGTTTGTTGGGCCAAAGTTTATTTTGGAAGTGATGAAAGCTTTCGAGCGAATTGATTCTCTTCTTACCAATTTTTTTTAATTTTAAGAATTACTGAGGGGTGTAATGTTTCCTCACATAAAATTATAAATTTTGCCTCATCAATTATCCACCCCCTCTGTACTCTTGGGATAAGTAAATAAACAAAAATACATTTCCAAAGTTAAACGTCTGTGTCCATCTTGTGACATAGTTGAAAGTAGACTCTGGGTATGTCTATGTCCCTGTGGTAGAAGTTGAAAGTAGACTCTGGGTATGTCCCTGTGGTAGAAGTTGAAAGTAGACTCTGGGTATGTCCCTGTGGTAGAAGTTGAAAGTAGACTCTGGGTATGTCCCTGTGGTAGAAGTTGAAAGTAGACTCTGGGTATGTCCCTGTGGTAGAAGTTGAAAGTAGACTCTGGGTATGTCCCTGTGGTAGAAGTTGAAAGTAGACTCTGGGTATGTCCCTGTGGTAGAAGTTGAAAGTAGACTCTGGGTATGTCCCTGTGGTAGAAGTTGAAAGTAGACTCTGGGTATGTCCCTGTGGTAGAAGTTGAAAGTAGACTCTGGGTATGTCCCTGTGGTAGAAGTTGAAAGTAGACTCTGGGTATGTCTATGTCCCTGTGGTAGAAGTTGAAAGTAGACTCTGGGTATGTCTATGTCCCTGTGGTATAAGCAGATTGTGTGTATGTCTTCATTCTAGGGGTCTAGTGTTGACTATAGAGCTGGGTGTGTTTCCTCCAGCCATGACCGCTACGTGACAGAAGACTATATCCTGCCCTACACCACAGAGAACCTGGAGCTGCAGAGACAGCTCAAGCTGGAGGTGGCCAAGACACTGTAAGCCATACTTCCTGTTGTCTTACCCTGCGTGGTTGGCTGATGATGTCCTGCGCAGGTATGTGGGTAAGAACCGCAGGAGGAAACCTCCCCCCATCCTCAAAGATATCATTGAGAAACCCCAGGCTGCAGCTGCGGCCACGGCGGAAACCAAGAAGGAATCTTCTTCTGAGTCAGAATTGTCCGAGGTAACTTCCATTTGTGCTGTGTTGGCAGTCCTCCTGGGACTCACTTCTCTGTTCCTTGTTCACTACAGACATTGGGGTGGTGTTGAATTAAGGCTGCCTCTTTTTTTTTTTTTTAATAAAAATATTAATATTTCTAATTATCCCTAGTACACGTGGTACAGGCCATGATAATCATGGTGAGTAGTTATCGACTGCTTTTACTGTAAGCGCACCACATGTCTACACATGTGAAAAGCAGTTCGACTTTGCACTTACAAATGTACCAGAGCCCCGTTTGGTTACTTGCACTCGTTGGTGGGGTTGGACTTTGGCAATAATCGGGGGCCATTGGAGCATTTATTTTTTTATCAGAAAAAAGTGTCCAATGCGGGAATCGAACCCGGGTCGTAGCGGTTGAAAACCAAACGGTTTAACCAGCCTTCCACCGACCCCAAATTATAATATGATGCATTAATGAGCCATCACTTATAAGAAATAGAAATTATTTTTGAGGCGTATGATTCTTTTTTGTATTAAAAGCAATTTTCTACTGCCCTTTCTACAATAATAAAATAATGGGCCTGACTCATCAATGGTGAACCCTCCCAGCAGGTTTTGCCACTTTAATCTTACAATACCATTGTATTATATTGCATTTTTATGTTTTCCTTTTATACTGATACTGAAGCTAGACTCTTCGAAATGGTATTTTAAATGAACTATGGACATAAGCTTTGAGGACAATATAAAAATATCCCTCAGTTAATGAAAATGTGTCCAGTAGAGACTCTCTGTAACACCTGTTACAAGCCAAAAAGTCCTTTAGGGAGAGAGAGATGTCCTCTTACCACAGAGCTGCTAAATGGTGAAAATGGTAATTTAGGCGATGAAAACTGTTCTTTGTAGAGAGGTGACCTCTAGCCTGAGTCTTACCTTGTGTTTATAGATAATTAAATTAATGTAAATAAACTGATTAAAATTTGTATTTTTTATTATTATTATTTTTTTGCTTATCCCTAGTACACGTGGTACAGGCCATGATAATCATGGTGGGTAGTTAGCGACTGCTTTTACTGTAAACGCACCACATGTCTACCCATGTGAAAAGCAGTTCGACTTTGCACTTACAAATGTGCCAGAGCTCCATTTGGTTACTTGCACTCGCTGGTGGGGTTGGACTTTTGCAAGAATCGTGGGCCATTGGAGCAATTTTTTTTTTTTTTTATAGAAAAAAAGTGCCCAAAGCGGGAATCGAACCCGGGTCGTAGTGGTCGAAAACCAAACGGTTTAACCAGCCTTCCACCGACCCCTTATTTATTTTTTAAATGGTCGAATTAAAGTAGGTATGGATTTAGGGTTGGTTGAATTCCAGAGGATTTACTGTGTGTATATACACTCATGGAGACAATAACTCTGAAAGATATTACAGTGACCTTTATTGAAGACACATGAGATACCCAAGTGTGAACAAAATTGCCTCGTGTCTACTTAAAAAAATATATGACCAGCGAGATCGAAACAATTTCCACTTCCTTAAGTTTTGTCCACGAGTGTATATAATATATATATACAGTAGAACATCCCTTGGATTGTCTGCCCACCTAAGCTTAGACCACCATTATTGTATTGAGCATGACTTCTTCTCTATGCATTTCACTGTCATCGTTTTTTTTATTCTCTCCAAATGTTGTAGTCTTAAATGTTGTAAAACAAATTTCAAAGGTTCACAAAAATGTGCGGGGGGTCGGTGGAAGGCTGGTTAAACCGTTTGGTTTCGACCACTACGACCCGGGTTCGATCCCCGCATTGGACACTTTTTATGTTTAAAAAAAAAATGTTCCAATGGCCCCCCGATTTTTGCAAAAGTCCAACCCCACCAGCGAGTGCAAGTAACCAAACGGGGCTCTGGCACATTTGTAAGTGCAAAGTCGAACTGCTTTCACATGTGTAGACATGTGGTGCGCTTACAGTAAAAAGCAGTCGCTAACTACCCACCATGATTATCATGGCCTGTACCACGTGTACTAGGGATAAGCAAAAAAAAAAAGAACCTTCCTTTAGTGGACACCCCGCTAGCGGACACCTCTCCATAAAGGACAGTTTTCATTTACATTTTTACAATTTAGCAACTCTCCGGTAAGAGAACACCTCTCCCTAAAGGACACTTTGGCTCTGCAATTAGGTGTTGTCCTTTACAGGGAGGTAGGTTCTACTGTATTGTCAATTGTCTTAGTCCAGAGAGGAAGGGTGCCTCCTCCCATTCACCAACCACTTCTAGCCCATGTCACCTACTGCTGTCACTGGAGTATCCTGAAGTGACAGCCGGGATGTGCACAGAACGAGGAGGACGCCACAACAGAAGACATCAAGCTGGAGATCCCGGAGAGACTCAAGAAGAGATTGGAAGAGGATCAAGTCTTCATCAAGAATAAAGGCATGGTGAGTGGCACTGTGTTGTTGTTGTTTCTTATCCCCCTGTGTAAATATTACACAAATTCCATGAGTTCATGCTCCTCGAGCTGTTTGATGATAAGCAGCTCCCAAAAGTCCTAAAAAGGTAATAGCCTACAGCACCCGGTGTTCCCAGGTGGTCACCCTCCCAACATTGCTTAACTTCAGTGATTGGAGGAGAACCGGTGTTTTGAATGTGGCGTGGCCCTAGGCTAGCAGTCCATGGTGGCAGTCCATCTTAGATAGCCATAACCCGGGATCGAATCCCACATTGGGCACTTTTTCTGAAGAAAAAATTGTTTAAATGGCTATCGATTCTTGCCAAAGTCCAACCCTTACCAGTGAATGCAAGTATCCAAACAGGGCTCTAGCACAGTTGTAAGTAAGTACAAAAATCTAAATGCTTTCTAAATATGTAAGCAAATGTATATTTGAGCTGTATGGTAGATTAAGCCAGGGTAGATAGGTATGGTGGATTAGCCAAGCACTCCATATATATATATATATATGTGGTAATAAAAGGTGGGGAAAATAAGCACATCACAAGTTGGAAGAGGGCTCTAGGCAACCAGAGGGAGATGGGACTGGCACAGCCTCCTGTGTCATACCTAAACTCCAACTGTCTTAAAAGCCCCGAAGTGTTAAATAACAGGCCCCAGTGGTCGCCCCTTAGAATTTTGCTTATATCTCAAGTGGCCGGACTTTATCCGCCGTCTGGGTTGTCTTGTAGGTTGGCTTTATTGGTAAAATACAATTTACATATAAAAGGGGAGGTTTCCATACCACATATATATAAAATAAAAGGATTTAAAAGCGCGAATGTTTCTTTTATACATAAAACGAACTTCTACTGTCCTTACTGCGATGAAAAAATATATTGGGAGGGCTTGGCTCATCAGTGGTGAACCCTCCCAGCGGTTTCGCCAATTTAATCCACCAGACCGCTTCTCAGAGCTCTAATACTGTATTGGATCATTCTGCTTTTATATGCTACACTGAAGGATGGAATCTTAAAAATGGTTTTCAAGTAAACTATGGACATAAGCTTATAGGACAGTAGCATTACATTCAAATATTTGCTTCGAGCAATGCTCTTCAGCAAACTATAAAGACAAGGCCAGTTAGGCATAAATTAACACATATATATTTGTTAATCTCAGTAAAATACGAAGTAAGTTTGTTGTATTCAGAGCCATGTGTCCAGCTGGTCCAACTGCCCTGTGAGACCCCAGTCCTCCAGCTGCTGGAACAGTTCTCTATCCACATGAACCTCAGGATCCCCAACTTGGGCACCAAGGTGCCAGAGGGACTTCCCAAAGCCCCTGCAGATGCTCTGCGCCTCTGCAAAGAGACCCTGGACAGCCTCCGCGTACTGTTTGACCATGTCCTAGGCAGGCTGCTGCTGTACAGGCAGGAGACTGCGCAGTTCACGGCCTTCCAGAACAGACCACTTTCCGACCTGCGCAGGTAGAGTAAGAACTGAACATGTACTTAGAATGTATTGGAACAACTCTCGTGGCAAATATAATTGGCATTTAGATACCTTCTTTCCACAATAAAATATGGGATAAAGGTTGATGGAAGAGTGGTGTAAACTTCTATTTTCAACAACCATGTCCCAAGTGATGTTACTATAGCAACTCTAACTTCTTTATTTTTCTTTGTCTTAACACTAAATGAGATTTGTTTGTTTTTTTTTTTTTGCATTTTTCTCTATTTAACTATTTTTATTATTATTTTCAACATACTACTTTCTAGTCATATGTAAACTTGTTTGCTATTTGCACAATTAATTGATGTTTGTAGGAGGTCCCAGCCCAGGACCAGAGCTTCCAAGTTGCCAAGTGAGTATTCACTGATTCCTCTTTTATTTGCCTATATAGCAGCAAAAACCTAGTTGCTTATAGCCCAGCAACTTAATTGCATATAGGAGTATTAACTCTATTGTATATAGCTTGGTAACTTTATTGAATATAGCCCAGCAACTAAATTGCCTATAGCTCAACAAATTATTTGCATATATCCTAGCAATTTAGTTGCATATTGCTCAGCAGCTTAGTTGCATATAGCAGCAGAAACTAAGTTGCATATAGCCCAGTAACATTTTCATATAGGCCAGCAATTCAGAGAGAGTTGCATTTTCCTCCATGTAGTTGACAAAATGTCCTAGTCAGATGAACAAGTTTGATTATGAAGACAAGATAATAAGACCAAATCCAAACAAATAGTATTATCTTGTGTTTCTAATCTATAATCCAAATTGTACCTAATTAAGATTGGTTATATATACGAGGTGTATGTCCAGAGAGCAGTTCCAGGAGAAGAGAAGAGGAAGAGCCACCAGCCAAGAAAGCTGCCACCAATGGCAGCACACTGGAACTGTCGCCTGTGGTGAATGACGGGGACCCAGCCCTGCCCTCTCAGGTCTACGGGGGACACCACCTGCTGAGGCTCTTCGGTGAGTTCCTCCCTCCCTGACTGACTGACTTCACAACTCACCGATATGTAACAGTGGTGTTACCCTCCATCCTCCACAAACAGAAAATTGGCCGCACCAAACTCAGGATCATCCTCTTCTTTCTAGACAACTTCCTCAGGTAGGTGGCTGCACTCTTGTATTCCTCTAAGTACCTTCAACACATGTGTTTTGATCACTCTGGAAGATTTCATCAGAACTTGGTTGGACCTCGTGAAATCCTGATTCCTCGGTTGATCTTTCTAGATTTGTCAAAGCTGGTGTCATTTCCACCACCAGTGAAACAGGGAAAGGCCAAGAGTCCAGGATTTTTGACTACCCTGAGCAGTCCGCAAACCCTGAATGAGACATATACCTAACAAGGCTTCCATTCTAAAAATAGATCTGTAGCGGACCTTTCTGGGAATTTATAAGCCGATTTGTTTGTGGCACGTGAGACAGTGCACTGGGGCTTAAGCACGCCCACGATCTGTTCCATAAGACGGGGCACTGGTGTTCAAAAGAAAAATTTATTAATGCCGTCATCAAAGACTTGTCACTTCCTTAGGTTTTTGTTCATGAGTGTATTTGTCCATAGAGTCACCAAAAGTGTCTAACTTGACTTGATGACTAAAAACAACAACAGGGTTAAATTGACTGCTTTCCTTTCTACAAGATTTCCACCAAGATAGATTTGCATACTCTGTGTCCCAGCTGGAATCAACATTGTGATGTACAGTCCACCCTAACACACAGCCTGGTTGTGGCACAGCTTCCTAGACGAAGGCCACAAGAGGTACTTGCCATCATCAGCGTACGCCCTTGCACCAGATCAGTTTGTCTGTACATAGTAACAAGATCCCACCCCCATCATGTTCTGTAATCTTTTTTTTTTATCCATTTTTTTCTCCAATTTATGTGTTTTTTATCCTTTTTTGTTTTGTTTTTATTTTTTTAGTGATGTAAATAATAATAATAAAAAAAGTAATAATAACACTAATGTGAAATTGTTGTCTTCTTATGTAAAAAGATATATATGTTGATTCTACCTGAACAGTCAACTCTCATTTAATTGTGAAACTGGGTATGATACCCCCACTACACTGTTGTTGTTTCTTATCCCCTTGTGTAAAGATTACACAAATTCCATGAGTTCATGCTCCTCAAGCTGTTTTATGATAAGCAGCGGCCTCTTCCAAAGGTCCTGTTTAGTGCATCTAATGCAAGCCAAAATGTGTTCTGGAGCTGCAGGTGCCAAGCTACATTTTGGGCAAGTGGGGTAGATTTTGTTATTACCCACTATACTAGAACCTCCATGAGAGGACAATCTTGCTGAATATAAACAAAAGACAGTTGTAATCACCAAAATTACCTTTTTTAATAATTAGCAACTCTCTGGTAAGAGGACAGCTCTCCTTAAAGTACACTTTGGCTCTGCAACTATGTGATGTGTTTACAGAGAGGTTGTTCTACTGTAATGAAACTCTTTGCTACCTTTTAGTTTAAATAGGTTCTGGAGTTATTGTGTTTGGTTGTTGCCAACTAACTTGCCTGGAATGTTTAGGTTTTAAAAAAGACAAAAAATCCTTTTTTATAATAAGAAATAAACTTAGTGAGAAAGAACCTCCATGAGAGGACACTCTTGCTAACAGACACCTCTCTACAAAGGACAGTTTTTAATGACCAAAATTACCATTTTTACCAATTAGCTGTTCTCCAGTTAGAGGACACTACTCTGTAAAGGGCACTTGGGCTCTGAAACTAGGTGTTGTCCTTCAGAGAGAGATTCTACTATTTTTTAAAAAAATTATTATTATATGGTACAGGCTACCATAATCTTTTTTTTTTTTTTTGCTTATCCCTAGTACACGTGGTACAGGCCATGATAATCATGGTGGGTAGTTAGTGACTGCTTTTTTTTTTTTTACTGTAAGCGCACCACATGTCTACACATGTGAAAAGCAGTTCGACTTTGCACTTACAAATGCCAGAGCCCCGTTTGGTTACTTGCACTCGCTGGTGGGGTTGGACTTTTGCAAGAATCGGGGGGCCATTGGAGCATTTTTTTTTTTTAAACAGAAAAAAGTGTCCAATGCGGGAATCGAACCCGGGTCCTAGTGGTCGAAAACCAATCATAGTATGTATAAGTTAGCGACTGCCTTTACAAGTCTAACTTGACTTGATCGACACTGTTGTTTCTTATCCTCTTGGGAAAGATTACACGAATTCAATGCTCCTCAAGCTATTTGATGATAAGCAGCAGCCTCTCCCAAAGATCCTGTTTAGTACATCTAATGCAAGCCAAAATGTGTTCTGGAGCTGCAGGTGCCAAGCTACATTATGGGCAAAAGTGGGGTAGATTTTGTTATTTTTTTCTATCTTCAATGGCTTGAGATGGCCTGTTCTAAATCTTTTTAGTGTTGTTTGATTTGATGGACACTAAAAACAACAAAAAAAAACATCCTGGAGTTGTAAGGCTGCCAGTTTTGAGCCTGGTAATCCTAGGCCTGTGTCAACTTTTGCTTTAAATACCAATGATGGAATATCCAACTGTATAAAGATTTGTTCACCTCTCTCTTTAATCAAAAAAATAAATTAACAGAATGTTGCTTTATCTTTAAGGAACAACAAAATTGAAGCGGTTTAATCAGAGTCTTTATTTGAAAGAACTTAAAATATATTTTTATACACAGTTGTGAAAACACTTTTATAATAATTTCTTATGTAACATAAATAAACATAAAATTTGTAAAA